CGAGCGTGTGCCTGCTGTACTATCCTATGTCCGAGGAGTCACAAACAAGGTTGGCTACATCTTGAAGCGCGATTAGTAAATTTTAAACAACTATTTTATTGAATTGACAAATAAAAATAATACAAATATATTACGTGAAACTCCTAATGACATTTTAAAAAACTCTATTTATTTGACTCCCATTGACGAATATCATGTAAGGAAAATTATTTTGTCACTGAATAACACAAATTCAGAAGGATACGACGAGGTATCTACAAAGATTATCAAGAGATGTAATGAACGATTAGGCGTTATTTTGGCGTTTCTGATAAATCAGTCAATGGTCTCTGGGATATTTCCAGACAGATTAAAATTCTCATTGGTGAAGCCACTATTTAAAAAGGATAAAAAGTCCCTCGTAAGTAACTACCGGCCCATTACGGTGGTTCCTATCTTATCTAAAGTGTATGAGAAGGTTATGTATGAAAAACTTACATCGTTTTTCGATAAATATCAGATACTAAAACACAACAAATATGGATTTCGAAAAAGCAAATCCACTACACATGCGGTATATGACATACGGCCGGTCTCAATAACCTATCTATCTCATACTGGAAGTTAAAATGTCTACCATTGGTATCTATAGTTACATTTTTCCGTTTCAATAATCAAGGATAGATAGAAATATTTAACCATCACATTGATCTACCCTTCGGAGGGCTTACCGACTTGAGTTAAGTGAGTTCATAGAAAAAAAAACAGCTGACTGTTTCAACAGCGTTTTGGCAGTTAACTGGCGATAGTTCAAATTACCAGATGTCAGAGTTTTGTCAAATATTTGTCGTGTTCTTGAATAAATAAAATTTAAATTTTATTTCGAAAAAATGAATTTGTTCAGTGATGATAGTGATATTGAAATGTTTGAGATCGGTGTTTTTGATTCCGAAGGTATTGTAGATACTGAAAATCGCTGAGTTTATAATCGAATAAATTACAGAAGTGAATTTTCTGACTCTGAATTTACATATAGATTTAGATTAAATAAAACGTCCGTGGATGAGTTATTATTGAAAATAACACCATCCTTAAAAATAGTTTCTTCAAGGTGAGTAAATAAACTTATGAACAAAATTTGGTTAATTTATGTGTCGTCGCAATATGCCACCAAACACATAACATGAATAACAGTTATTGTTTATTTTTAATACTTTTACTTATTTATATTTAACATTTTAGGAATAATGGAATATCGCCGTTACATCAGTTGTTACTGACCTTGAGATTTTATGCACTGGGAACAATTATTTTATCAGTAGCGGACTTTATTGGTGTATCGAAAGCTTCAGCTAGCCGAATTGTGCATCATGTATCTCGGGCTATAGCTGGCTTATACCCTCAATATGTGAAGTCATTAAGCAATACCTAGAATGCCTTTCATGAAATCGCAGGATTTCCAAGAATTCTTGGTGCAATTGACTGTACGCATGTTCCTATACAGTCACCTGGTTAATAGTACCAAATAAATAAATATTTATATTAAGTAGATCTAGGCAGAATCTTTGAAGAAAGCCATCTAGTGATCTGAAACTCAAACGTAGAACTTAATCCAAGTTTGGCCAGAATTGGGTCAACTTCTACAAACATGCATACAATTTGTTATTATAATATTGTTAAGTATAGATTCATTTATTTATATAGATTATACCTAATTACAGAATCATAATTTTTACAAATTCAAATATAGGAGAAGAATTCAGAAATAGAAAAGGCATATTTTCCATTAATGTCCAAGGAGTCTGTAACGTAGACTTGTTATTTATGAATGTTGTTGCCCGTTGGCTTGGTCTGCTCATGATGCTATTATATTTAACAACTCTACACTAAAAAGTAAGTAGGTACTTAGTTATCTAGAAAATTTTAATAATAAGTCATCACATAAACATAATTACTATTTCTTTGTTATTTATTTTCAGTGCAATGTGAAGAGGGATTGTTTGGCAATAGATGGCTTATTGGAGACAGCGCATATCCCTGTACTTCATATCTTTTGACACCACTGCTAAACCCCACATCTGTTGCAGATACATAATCGTTACAATGAAGCACATATAAAGACTAGAAATACTATTGAAAGGTAAATATTATTTTATTAATATTTTATTTTAAAAATTTCATGAATATAATATAATATAAAATAACTTTTCAGATGATTTGGTGTGTGGAAAAGGCGCTTTCCAATACTCTCTTTAAAAATCCGTTTAACTATGCACACAACACAGGCCATTATTATTGCCACTTCTGTATTACACAATATCTGCAGATTAAATAATATTAGGGATGTAGATCCAGAAGTTGCGATGCCGCAAGAATCAGGTGACATTATCACAGTGTCAGACAACAACTAATTAATAATTATTTTAGTGTTTAAGTAATGTTTAATTATATTAGAATTTTAATGTGTAAATAATGTTAAATTATACTGGAATAAATGTGCTTTATTTCAATTTATATTTTATTTCAAAAATGTTAAATAAAAATCAATGTATAAAATAGATTTTATTTTAGAATGAAATTAACCCTTACATTGGCATGTGCCCTGTAGATCACGGGAAATAAAATGTTTTGTTATAATTATTTTCAGTTTTAAAAAACTTTCATTACTTATGATTTAGCTTACTTCAAAAATATACAGAAAAAAAAATTTCAATGTGTCAAAAGTAACGTTTGCTGTCATTGCGAAACAAAATGTCAGGAGGGTCGAGTAGTCGCCGGCGCATTGAGGTAAATAATAATAAAAATATCCTAGTAGATCTATTCTAGGAACATAAAACTTCTCATATGTAGTATTTGCATAAATTATAATTATTTATAAGGTAATTTTTATTGCGTCGAAATTCAGTTGTGCCTTGTAGGGCACCTTATTAGGTTACCTGAAATTGTATGTTGTGCCTTACAGTGCACACGTTCACTTAACAGAAAAGTGTTTATGTGCCTTACAGGGCACTTAGCCAGTTAATAGTACTTCTCTTGTGTCTTTTGTAGGTTACTTTAATAATACTTTTTCACCGATATTGCCCATGCTTTTACATTCCTCCAGCTTTTTTTTTGTTTTGAGATGGTCATAAAGCTGGAAATAGTGTTACACTGACGTCAGTCACATATATATATATTAGCAATAGTTTAGACGTACATATATGCTATAGTTTTTTGTGCACAATTCTTTGTAAAACTGATCAGCGACCGAAGTCAGAACAACATTATTTCCAATCGAACGCTGTCGATTGCTGACAGTACGAGACCGACGTCAGCGTTATACTATTTCCAAACTAAGTACTTTTTTTTATATTTTCAGCGCATAATGTCTTTCGTTCTACCTGATAAAGCTAGCGAAGAAACTTCTGATTCAGATGATGCTCAGAAATTCGTCACTACAAACATATATAACAGTAAAACTGTTAGTGAAACTGAAAGTGAAGATGAGATTTCAGTATCCCCAAAAGCTATGATAGTTCCTTCTTTGAGTCTAAACTATGTTAGATCCAGTCAAGCTACGGTTCATCAAACCTCTGCTGTCCAATGTTTGAATTCTGTTGAATATCCATATAGTTATGATCCTTATTTGCCGCAAATACCCAGTGTTTCGGAACAATCCCTTGTCAATGTTACCGATTCCAATCAGAATTTACCATCAGTGTCATCCTGTTATGAGACCCTATCTATAATGGATCAAAATATGCTATCTGAAATCGGTATCATTGAGTCACCTTACACGCAAAACAAAGAAAAAACTGATGAGATATTATCAAGCCCTTGTCCTAACTTTCTGGATGATTTCTATTTGAACAGTGACTGTGAGATAGAAGATGTAGCGAAATCGACTCGTAAGCAAAAACTAGTAGCTAAGACGTCTACTTCAAATAAAAGAATTAAAAAATCTGCTGAACTTGCGGAAATTACGCCTAAACGAAGGTCTCTTCGTCAGAAGTCTTTGATTTCTCAAACGCAAACTCAAAATAGTCCGAAATTATATATACAAGCTTCATCTAAAGATTCCTGCTACCATCATTCACAAACCAAACCCACAACAACTAATACAAATAGTAAAAGTAGCAACAAAGCAAAAACAGACCAAAATTTATATAAATCAAAAACTAAAACAATTTTACGGATCCATAACAAAAAAGAATACACTAATAGGACTAAATCAACCTCATTAACAGATAAACTTACAACTAATAAAACAAGTAAAGCTATTGGTCTTTGTGAATGGGTAGGAAAAGAATTTGCTTATGGAGTACAAAACTTAAAGGAAAACCAGTTTACAACTCCTAATGAAGTTGGCAGCCCTTTAGAATATTTTTATAAATTTATTGACGAAGATTTAATACAGTACATAAGAGATCAAACAATTTTGTATGCGTACCAAAAAGATTCCAAAGAATTAACGTTGAGTACACAAGATATCAAGGATTTTTTTAGTGTTGAGATATTTATGGGTATTATCCAGTTACCCGCGTATGTTGATTATTGGTCTAAGGATTTTAAAGTAGATTGTGTTATAAATGTGATGTCCCTCAAAAATATCAGTTAATAAGACGTTATCTCCATTTCAATGACAGTGAAGTTGAAAATGAGAGCAATGACCGTTATTACAAAATTCGCCCTCTGTTTGATAAAGTTATATCCAACTGCAGAAAGATTGAAGAAGAAAGTAGAATGTCCATTGATGAGATGATGGTACCGTATAAAGGGAAGAAGTCAGGTGAATTAAAACAATACATAAAAACTAAGCCTAAAAAGTGGGGGTACAAAATGTTTGTTAGAGCAGGAGTCTCTGGTATAGTGTATGACGCAATTCTATATGGTGGACAGTATACTTTTTCGGGAAGGGATTTTAGTGATTATGAAAATACCTTGGGATTGGGTGCCAAAGTTGTCCTTCTTTATGTCGCACGATAAGAGATCCCGTACTAACTGTGGTATACTTTGATAACTATTTTTCAAGCGTCGAGTTAATGCACCATCTACGAAACGAACTGGGTATCTTGTCGATTGGCACATTTCGACAAAATAGAACGAGAGGATGTATTCTGAAGGATGACAAAGAAATGAAGAAGATGCCTCGAGGATCGGTGGATATGAAAGTTTGTGAGGAAAAAAAAATAGTTTTAGTGAAATGGTTTGATAATAAAGGAGTTTTGCTAGGTAGTAACTACACCGGCGTTGAACCAATGGGTGTATGCAAACGATATTTCAAGGATAAAAAAGAATATCGAGAGATTCCTTGCCCAAACATCGTAAAAGAATACAACAAGCATATGGGCGGTGTAGACTTAGCCGATATGTTAGTGGCTATTTACCGGACCATCTACAAAACAAATAAATGGTATATGCCTATTTTTTCTCAGCTGTTGGACGTGGCTATAAATAATGCATGGCTTTTGTACAGAAGGGAATGTGGCCTCAAGACTGGCGTCGACGATCATATTGCTTTGAAAGCATTCCGTTTTAAAGTGGCACAAGAAATGAGTTCATATATTCCAAAAGCACTGGCTGAAAATGTCGAGCCTCCGAATCGAGTAAACCAACGCCGCATAATTAGCAGGCCTATCGCAACTCGACCAGAAGCAGAAAGTCGATATGACGGTAAAGAGCACTTTCCTAAAATCACAACAAAAGGCCGTTGTAGACTTTGTGTGAAAGGAAAAACTACTTTCTTGTGCATAAAATGTAACATGCGTCTATGTATTCAACAAAATCGCAATTGTTTTTATACTTTTCATCAAAAAGAACAAGAAACATAGCAATAAAATATTTTTATTACTCTTTAGCCCTTCAGTTAAATTAGAAAATATACTTAGCTGATAATTTACTTAGCTTATAAAAAATTTAGAACCTTTACTTGATTATTGATCTCAAAAGTGTGTACTTTCATATGTAAGCATTTTTGTAAGCAGAATATTTATTTTTTGTTGTATTTTTATATCCTTTATGGCGTTTGATCTCAGATTAAAATAATGATATAAGTAAGGAGGATTTAATAATTTTGTGAAGTATATTTTTATAAGATTTATGATGTTTTATCTTACATCAATAAAAAATCTCAGCACTGTTAATTCCACAGGTTTAGTAGTATATTTTTACGAAAATTTAAAAATATAAATCAAAAAATTTATTGCTAATTAGTCGGCAATGTGCTCTACAGGGGACAGGAAAATGCCGATTTAATTTTCTGGAGACATAGCGAAGTGCCCTCTAGAGCACATATGATTTTCCAATAAATAAACAAAAAATATTTTTTCTATTATTTTTTAAGATGCTTTTGTTACTAATATATTACAAATAAATAGTTTTTTCAGTCAAAATCGTCTTTTTGTGTTTTGCCAATCTAAGGGTTAACAAAAAAATTACAAACTTATAAAAACACACCTTATTATCACTATTTACAAATTCTTAACATTAGTACTATAATAATCACTAGTCACTTATTTAATTTTTCTATTTGTAATTGCAGTTTAACTTTTTCAAGTTGAACCACTTCAGTTTTGGCTTCTAAATAAGCAGTCATGGCTAATTCCTTGCTTATCTGAGCCCGTAGTAGTTCTTCAGAGGGTTTTTGGCGTTTCTTTACTGTGAAAATAAAAAACATAATTAAATTCTCATATTATACACTCTCCTAGCTTGATAGAATTGATGACTGATGGCCACAGAGATCAGGCACAGGAGATGACATAAAAAAACGTATTAGTAACAACTACTCTACGCAAACTACATTAGAGATTACCCAGAACCAACTGTACTATAACCTATTTCACACATTATCTTGTTTGTCAGACAATTGGGTGATCAGCCTATAGATTTCCCTCATGAACCAGAAAAAAATACACAAAGTTGTAACAAAACCTGCAACAAGCAATCACCTACTAGACCCATAGAGAGGCGGTCTGTTTTGTTTAGTAACAACTGAGGTAACTATAACTTACAGAGTTTGTAAGGATTATTAAAAGTAAATCTTTTTGGTGTGAAAATTTTCTCATTATCACCACCATCCTCGGCACTACCACCACCTCCCATCACCAAATCACTCGTTATAGCCTCTGAATGCTCCGGCAAAGGTTGTAAATCCATGAGTTCCAAAACTGCATCTGATAGAATCATTTCACTTTCCCCATCACCACCAAACTCCACAGTGAACCCCGTGCATGTTGCACCTAACATGGATGTTACACGATCTAGTGCTTCATCGGGAGGGATGTACATCTTTCCACCACCGGTCTGCAAGTAAAAATGTTTCAATAGAAATATTATATAAAAAAATTCTAAGATGATTAGGTATCTAATAAAATGTCACAAAATATTTAATGTATGTACTTATTACAAGCCTTTAAATTATTTTGTCTTATCAATGCATTGCGTTTCCTTGATGACTTCTTTAAGTTTTCTTACTTTCAGCGTAGTTGCTCAGGACGCCGCAATTCTTCCGCCATCACACTAAACTCCTGCGATATGGATTTCCAAGCCTCTTCCTTTAATTTATTATTCGTGGCATTCGTTGCTTTAGTTGTAATTACTTTTTGCTTGGAAATTAAGTCTAGCAGGACGAGTATTTCGTCCTTAATAAGGGTCCTTGTCTTTATCTGAAACAAAATTTTATAGGTGCCTTAAATTATTGGCGCGACTTTGAGACAAAGACCCGAGCTTTTGTAACATTACTGTAAATTTATATATCACGGCAAAGAGTTCACAATACAGTATTTTGTTGAGCCATGTTAATGTTTATCGCTAATAAATTACTGCTACACAAAAACAACTAAATTATGTGTAGTATATTTCTGATGAGCTTCTTGATGTTTGTTTGTGGTGTTGTGGTGGTGTACACAAACTATCAATGTCAATTGTGAAGTCAAGCAACGCGGAGCGCTGCGTTTTGTTGCTTCGTATCGTTGCTTCGTACTGTAAGATAAAAGTTTGTCATTATTTGAAGAAAGCCTTAATTTAGAAATGTGTATAAAGGATAATTGTCAATATTATATTAAAACTATTAAAAAATAATTAAAACCATATATTAATCATAATATTTTAAATAAATCGTTATATTTTATTGTAGAATGCGACGCAATTCACTTCGAAGCAAAAACAAAACGCTTAGGAGGGACGCATTAACCAAAGTTATCATGAACTATCTGCCTTTTATCTCGAGTAGCTTTCGAACATTACGATGTTGAAACGACAGTAACAGATAGTTTAAATTTAACTGTTTACCGTGGGTAGCTATCTACTTATAACTGATTGTAGGGAATTGAGACCGGCCGTTAGTGAATGAGACCCTTACACAACTAAACAATAAACAATATACGACGGCGCTCTTCTTTCATATGTTGAAAGCTTTCGATTTTGTTTCGCATGATCAACTTCTAGTAAAGTTAGAGCACTGTGGCGTTAGAGGCACTGCTTTTAATGTGATATACACATACTTGCAAAATAGAATGCAATCAGTCGAAATCGCAAAACTTGACTCTAACCGTGTAGTGAAAAACTACAGGTCTGAGTTTAGGGAAAATAAGTTTGGCGTTCCTCAAGGAAGTGTATTAGGACCTCTTCTGTTCCTGATTTATATAAATAATCTCCCAAATGTAACCAAGCATCGATGTATCCTATTCGCTGATGTGATAGTGACAACTGATAACAAATTGACATTAAATGACCACAGAAATTACATTAATGAAACTATAATTCAAATAATTAATTGGCTTAGAAATAATAATTTAACTATCAATATTGACAAAAGGAATTTAATTAACTTAATATAATATAATATACAAAATCCGACATTAAATATAAATTATGAAGGACAAATACTTAAAAATACAACAACAACGAAATTTTTGTATATAGAAATTGAACAAAAATTAGATTGGAAACAACAAGTTAAAAAACTGTGCAACAAAATCAATCGTTTCTCATTTGCAATTTATAATGCTCCGTATTCATGGGAAACATTTGTTGAGCAACAGAGTTAAATCAACTCGTTGCAGAGTTGCTGTCAACATGTTGGTGACAACACTGTGTGTTGCAGAGTTGACAACGGCATGTTGACAAGCTCTCGCCCGACGAGGAGCGTAAACATCAGTTTAGCAACCAATGTTGACGTGTGTGAACGCGTTCGCAACAGTTTATAAGCATGGCAGTAGTGTGGAGCAATGATAAAATAATGCAATTAATAGAATTATTTCAATCAAAATCATTATTATGGGATTCTTCTGTGATTTCCCCTTTTCAATCTACCCGTCACAGTAGTGACCACCCGACGTGATTTGAACACGCACCCAACAACCTGATGTGGCGGCGCTGTCGTCGCACCACAAGCGAAACACATCAATGCCTAAATCGCACTAACAAAGTTTCGAAATTAAAGCAGCATAAATAGAATAGCTCCGAACTACCAACCAGAGCGTTGGCCGCTCCCCGGGCAGAACACCTTGCCCGGCGAGAGATCTCCCCTTTTCCTTCCATCCGCTACACTTCTATAAAAGAATACAAAGATTTCACAAGCCCTAAATATACCCAAAAAAGATGTGGAAATTAAAATACATGTACTGGGTACTCAATTTACTAGAGAGAAAAAAAAATGTCGGCAAAGAAAACTACAGGCAGTGGCGCAATAGAAAAATGTAAATGGATGTATTACGAGCCATTGGAATTTTTGTTATGTGGTGCAACCACTTCTGGTGAAACGGATACTATGAATAAAACAGTAAGTTGTTTTTATTTATAATTTTTATTGTACTATTACAGACATTAATTTTACAGAAAAAAAATATTTTAATTACGCTACATTATTTTGCCATGGAATATCTCCCTCTGAACTTATAAAGTAATCGGCAAACTGTTCTCTAATACAAAAAGCTAATTGTGATGCATGCCTGCCCCGTCTTTGCAAATCGCCCATAGGAAACGAACCTAGTTCGCTTCGTCATGAACCTTCTATTAGATTACCTTCAGAGTCTTCAAAATCAAAAGTTTGTGGAGGTGTATATATGGAAGAGGAAACTATGTTACTTCTTAAGAAATTATGTAAATATACACAAGCAATTACCACGAGTTCACAATTGGCTGGTTTTAACTGAATAGGTTTAGTGAATACAAGGAACACCACACATAAAATGCCAAAAACATTTTCTATAATCCTCCTAGCTCTTGATAGTCTTTAATTGAATATACGCGTTCCCACGTTCATGAATGCCAGGATATGGTTTCATGAAGTTCTCCTTTAGCGCGAAAGCACTGTCACCACCACAATAACGTATGGCAACTCTGGTCCGCCTTGTGTTATTGATTCAGGACGTGGCAGTTTAAGTGAGTTTTCTAACAATGCATTATAAAACGGTGTTTCCTGAAATATTCCACTGTCGGACGACCGACCCTTAGCTTCAAAATTTGCGTATATAAAGTTATAATTTCCATCTGCAATTGCCAGAAGTACCATGCTGAACTGATTTTTATAATTGTAGTATTCACTTCCAGAATTATTTGGCGCTACAATCAAAACGTGTTTCCCATCAACGGCTCCAATGGAATGTGGAAAATTCCATCGTATTTCGAATTCACGACTTATTTGTTTTCATTCCTGCTCGGACCTTGGAACCTACAAATATAAAAAATAATAATACGATGATTATTTACAGGTGGATGAAAACAATACACTTGAAAGTAATATGGAGTTAGAGCCATCTCAATCACCAAGGCCCACATCGAATGCTACAACATCTACATCTTCGAGGAAAAGAAATAAAACAGATGACTTAAGTGAAATATTTGATATTTATGGTGAATATATAGCTGCTGAATTAAGAAGTGTTAATGATGACCATGCCGTAACACAGGCAAAGTACCATATTAATAATATACTGTATGAATTAAAAATGGGACGATATAATACATATGGCACGATATAATATATCAAACGGCATCTTCTCATACATCATCAACACCAAATCATGTCCAGGAAACTGAAATACGGGAAATTGAGAGACAGGACACAAATAGAGTAAATGCAATACAAGACGAAATAGAAGATTCTTTTATACTAAACTTAGTTAACTGTCTCAGAGACGAAACAACGCAATAGCATAAACTGTTTTTTTGTGTTTTTTTTTTAATATTAAAATACACAAATATTGTTTTTGTACCTACTTTGACATATCCTGATAGCGAGTTAATTAGTTCTTGGCATACATGTGGTATGATTTTGCTGATCAATTGTTTAGATACTCTGAATGTGTGAAAGAGAACTGTATGAATCTCCAGTAGCAAGATACCGTAATGTAATAGCCAGCCTCGCTTGCCCGAAATCACTTTTCGACATTCTCGTAAAGTTAATAAATGATCTTTGCAGGAGATAGTTTCGAATCCACCATCTTTTTTTCTTTTTTATTTGAAATCCTATACATCAGACACAGAAAACACAACAACACTACTTCCTCGGGCAACATTTTAATGCAGACTGGCGTGTGGACAACGTATATTGATTTAAACAAAGTTTAATCAACATTGTCACCGTTTCATCAACAATGTTTATCAACTGTTGCTCAACAAATATTTCCCATTACTACGGGGCTTAAATTGTCAAAAATAGCAGGAAGGAGAACAGCTCTTATTGCGTACTTTGCTTGTTTAATCAGTACTGCGATACGGACTAATCATATGGGGTAACAGCACGGACATAAAAAAGGCGTTCATTGCACAGAAAAAGTGTGTTAGAGCAATATGTGGTACTGCACCTGACGAGCCATGTCAGCCTTTGTTTAAATCTTTGAACATTTTGACACTTACTTGTCTATATATTCTTGAAGCGGCAAAATTTGTAAAGAACAATATGAATTATTTTACATAAGCCAAAGACGTCTACAAAAGAAGCACCAGAAATAGGAATAGGTTGGTTTCCGCTATAATTCCTAAGAGTGCGAGATTACATAAAAATTGCTACTGGATGTATATGGCAATATATAATAAGATACCACAAGTAATTCGAGACCTACCTTTCATTCAATTTAAAAGAGATTTATACAAAATTCTGAGTGAAAAGTCTTTTTACACTGTACAGGAATATTTGAACTACGATAGGAACTTGACAAACAAATTTAATGGACCAATTATGAAATGCTTATTAATTAGTACCTATTTATAGACTACCTGTTGACATTTTGTTATAGACACTACTCTTAAATATTATTATCCCGATATTTTATAGTTTTAAAGAT